CCCCAAAACCCCAAAACCCCAAAACCCCAAAACCCCATGTAATAATGACGATATGGAATATAAGTCTCAAGAATCTGTAAATTATAAAAATAAAGATGAAAACTATTGCCATCTTATCTTTGATTGCATCTGTTGGACTACTCTACGTAGCCTTCGCTCCTCAAGAGACTAGCTTCGATAGAGAGTTCAAAACCTTCATTGCTACCTACGGAAAGAACTATGGTTCCACCGAGGAAATGAGCTTCAGAAGACTTGTTTTCAACGCTAACATGCAGAAGGCTGTTGAGCTTGGAAAACTAAATCCACTTGCTAAATTCGGTGTAACTCTCTTCGCAGATCAGACTGAGGAAGAAATGGCCGCCAGGATGGGAGCTGTAGACCCAGGAAGAAGCCGTGCAAACATTGAGTTCCACACAGATACTTCAAAGACTCTTGACTTCCTTGACTGGAGTGGAGCCATGCAGCCAGTCCAAGACCAAGGTTCATGCGGATCCTGTTGGGCATTCTCTGCCACTGCTGCTTTCGAAGGAAGACATCACATCCATATGGATGACGAAACCGAGAAATACTCTGAACAAGAAGCTCTCGACTGCTCCTCCTCAATGTACGGATGTAACGGAGGATGGTATGAAGCCGTCTGGGACATGGTCTCTAAAGATGAATTCTGCTCCCTCAGCTCCTACAAGTACACCGCCAGAAAAGGATCCTGTCAAAAGACCACTTGCGACAAGAAGGCTCTTGATACCGGATACAAGTTCATTTCCAAGGACGAAGCATCCATGCATGATGCTTTGAAGTCTGGACCAATCTCAATTGCAGTAGATGCCTCCACCTGGAGCACATACCAAGGAGGAATTTTGACTCGTGAATCTTGCGGAACAGGAATGAACCATGCTGTCGTCATTGTTGCTTACAACGACGAGGATAACACCTGGAAGGTTAGAAACTCCTGGTCTCCATCATGGGGAGAGGAAGGACATATCAGACTCAGATACGGAGAGAACACTTGTAACTTGTTGTACAAGCCAGCCTACCCAACATTTGATTAGTTCTAAATTACAACTACAAATCTTCTTTTTCCTTACTTTTTCCTTTGAGAAGTTTGATGGGTATTGCTTACTTGTTCTCTTGGCTCTAACTCGAATAGAGCAATATCTCAGGGTTATGGATTCACAGGGTCTTTTTAAAAGATTTCCTCCCTTAGACTTCCCAAATAAATATGGCTTATTATCTTGTTACTTTGTTGCGAAGCTTACACTTCATTAGCTATGGTATTCCATCCTCATTGGCATGGAAGCATAAGTTTGGGAAGATCAGTGACCAACTTTAAATTCAAATTGGTAGACTTTTTACAACGAAGCCCAATATAATCTATTTGGGATAGGTAAGAATCGGTCTAGATTTTTATTATTTTCATCTCAATCCTAGGATAGAGAAAGGGGTTTTGGGGTTTTGGGGTTTTGGGGTTTTGGGG